TCTTAAATCTACACTTGATATATAAAAGAAAAAGGATTGCAGTACTTTGCTACTAACTGTCAACACAATTGGATAACAAGGTCCAAGAGAGTCACAGTTTCCAGGTCAGGAAAAAGTTTTAATGAAAAACATATAGTGAAGGAGAGGGAAGTAGGTTGGTTATGCTAGCTTGACTATGATAACCTTGACATGTAGATGTGCTTCAGAATTCAGTGTGTTTCGGTTCAGTTAAAAAAATTAAGTAACAATAATAATAATAATAATAAGGTGGCCAACACTGTAGCTTTTATGTTCCAAAACCAAAAATACTCTTTAGAAAAGGCAACGGTTGAAATAGGTGGTTTATTCCTAAACTCTTTTCCAACTTGATTCTTTAGAAATGTGTTATTTCTTGCAAAGATGTGGACAAAATAATAAGAGTTAATTTCTGACAACTTGAATGTAAACAAAAGTTAACTTCACCTGATCATACAAGTTCAAAAAGTTGTCAAAAAAAAAAAAAAAACCCTCCTGGCACAATGGACATTTGACATACAAAAACCATCTCCATCCCCATGTGTGTTTTTTAACATCTTAATATATGGTAAGGTATAAAAGTTGCCAAAGTAATTGTAGCATTTCCAAATATAATTCTTTACAGTTTTGGGTTCCAAAGTAACTCAAGAGTATTTTAACTTCTTGAAGAGGAAGCTAAATTGATACAACTTGTGACTTAGAAGAAGTTCCAAGTACCTTTACAAGGCGCTGTTTTTTTCTGTTTAGTGTTTACAGTTCTTAGACTTTTTTTTTTTGTTTGTCCCTTTTATTGTTTAAAGGAGGATGATGAAGATGATAAGGACAAAGGTGATGCCACTACTGATGGAGCGGCCAAAACTAAAAAGAAGAAAAAGAAGAAGAAGAAGACTTCCGAGGAAGGAGGAACACCTGGCCAGGTAAAGATAAAACTCTAACCTCTGGAGGAATTCAGTTGACTCTAAGGTCATTTTGGTTGTGGAATCAATCAAACGGTATCATTGAACTTGTTCGTACTTGGCTAAATTTCCCAATTAGTACAATTTAATTTCCTCCTCTGTCCCGTGTCCTGTGAAGGTGGACGAGCCGGCGAAGGAAGCCGAAGCAGCACCTGCACCTGCCGTTTCAGTGAAGAAGCCACCACCTGTTGAGGAGAACGCTGCTGCCGTCCAGTCTGTCAAGGCAGCTGCTGTGGAGGTCAGTGGGGCGGCCGGGGCAGGAGGGGGCACGGGATCGGATAAGCCGTGTTAATGGCTCATTCCCTCATAAGCTCGTCTGGGTTCAGCAAACGGTTGAAATAAGATAATTTACCTTAACCGTCACAAGCAGAGTGTCTTTTGGTCCATCTTTATTCTGTACAGATTTTTGTTTAGCCCCCCCCCCCACCAGCCCCAATAATAATAATGTAAAAGTTTTACATTTCCTTCTCTGAACAGGCGAGAGGAGATCGACCCATGAAGGACACCATATCCCAGAAACCCCCCGTCACACAAGTGCCACAGAAGCCAACCGATGGAGATCCCGCTGCCAAGCAGAACAACCTTCCTGCTCCGACACAGCAAAGTAAGAACGTCACACTCGGTCCAGTGCTTCTCAAGGGGGCGCTGTTCAGGCATGTTTTGCTTATACTTAGAGTGTAGTCATACTTTTTCTAAATAAAAACTAATAAATCAGTAAATTTTGTTTTCAAAGTAAACAACCAAAAATTGAATTTATTTTAATTTTTCTACTTGGTAAAAAAGAAAAATTGTAAGACAATTAATAGGAATTATTGAAGGGACTGTATCAGGATAAATCAACTTTTTTTTAGCTTCACATTACATTATAACGTATGTGGAGTGTTGCCTTGATTCTTTCATAAATTTTCAATAAATACTTTAATCTCCCATGGCAACGCAGGACCTAGCTCCGCCTTTAAGACACAGCTCCTCCTCAGAGCTGCAGTTTCTAAGTTTCTGCCTCACAGAGCAGCCCTCTACAACTCTCCACTCAGCTCCTTCAGACTAGCCAGCAGCAATTAGCAAACACCTGGTGAAACTGCTCATCTACTGAGCTCATTATAGGAGTCAGGGTAATTTGGTCAGACAAGTACAAAATGTCTTTGATTAGGCTTTTTAAATGCTGAAGTCGAACTTGTTCCCAGAAGATTGCAAAGTACTTAAAAACTAAAAGAAAAATCAGTTGTTGGGTTTTTTGTAATCAAAGAGTTCTAGAATGCTTCAATTTTTCAAAACTAGTTTTCCATGATTTAACTTTCTGCCTCATGCGTTGAAGGTGTACTTTCCCTCGCTTCCATAGAAAAAACCGATGAGAGCCAAGTGCCCAAACCTGCGAAGAAGAAGAAGGCGAGGAGAGAGACATGAGACGCCTACGTATGCAAGAGACTTCACATCCTGCTTATGCAACACCTTCTCTGACAGGGATTTGGAACGACGGTCGCCGTTGACGAACTTTACCAGGAGAAAAAAAAAAAAGAAAAAAAAAACCGTGTCTGAAAACAACTTTTTTTTTTTTTTAATACACATCATGTGCCAGTTTGGTGGATCCTTGAAAACTGAAATTTTAATGCAGTGCAATCTAATGTGATGAGGTGTTGATGATTTCTATGTATGCATTTGATCTTTCTGATAACGTCTTCTCATTCCACTGAATTAAATAACTGAAGGAGCTGTAATTTAGTCCTTAGACCTGTAGGAAAAATACTGATAAAGTTTAGAAATACTGTGGTGGTGGCGCTCACAACACTGGGCCGAATGGGGTGAAGCGGCCTTTTTACCTGCTCTGATGTCGGCGACTCCAGACCAACGGTTGGAAGCTCTACAAGATGTAAACTGTTGTGATGTAAATGAGCCTCGTCAGGCACAGAAAAGGGACTCGTGTCGGCTCTACGTTTCTTGCTTTTTCTTCCTGTGATTCTCGAAAAAATGTCACCACCTCTGTCCATCTGGTTCGTCTCGTCCGTTTTGCTGCCGTGTGTCGACAAAATGTTCTCTTGCTGTTTTTTTTACGGCCAGTTGCTGTCAGCCGCAGCCATGCGGTGGACAGGGGTGCCTCTGATGGCAAACATGTCATTGTTGTCAGCCTCTTAGTTTTTTTTGTTTCTTTTGTTTTCCACCTCTGCTTGATTCAGAAGTCCGAATCTTTTTGTAAAACTTGTTTGTAATAAAAGAAAAGCTAAAGCCATATGTAAAAAGACTAAATAAAGGCCAGTTTTTCTATCTTTGGTCTAATTACTACCACTTTTACAGTCTTATGATAAATTGATATAGTATATAATTTTATTTAAAATAAGTGTAAATCTTAAATAGTAAATTTTGAATCCTTATAGCTTTTGTTTGTTCTGTTTCAAATCAAAACATGAAAAAAATAAGCCAGGAAAACTCCCGACTTTTACTCTAAAAACTGAATAACATTGAGCCTCCCTGATCTACTCATTTATTTTGTAATCACTATTTATTCTATGATTAAATGAATGAGGTGTATGGAGTTGACAGTATTGATATATGCTGTTAAATATCAACGGCTGACACCTGCAGAGATGGATTCCATACCAGAGCTGTAGTATTTAACAATTCATCTACATTTCTTGGTTTTTTACCACATATGATGTAATCTCATTTTTTGTTGGATTAATGCATAGGCATAACTTCCTGAAGGACTGGTGTGGACATGTCCACACCAACTCTGGCATGAAGGGGACAGTCCCCACCAATATTTCCTGGACCTTTTTTCTTTATGTGCCTGCAAATATGTAACTCGTTGGCAGCTGCACGCTGTATTCAGAGCATTAACAGCCAGGTAATGCTTTTTAAAATTCCTTTGTAAAACCTAAATGGCAAGTCCGCTCAATTAGAGATGTCTTCCCTCATTGCCCCACTGCTTCAAACTTGAAGATCTAAATTTTTTATTATTTTGTGAAGAATCAACAAGTGGGACACAATCATGAGATGGAATAAAATTTATTGGATATTTTAAACTTTTTTAACAAACAAAAAACTGCAAAGTGGGGCGTTTGAAGCCTGAAAAGCAGCAAAAGGTTGAAAAGTTCAAGGGGGCCGAATACTTTCGCAAGGCACTGTATATACACACACTGCCTCCATAAGAGCAATCTGTTTTCCACAGAATGAATGGGGTCACTCAGATTCCCTGCATTTAATGATTCAATTACATTGAATCAACTATTCGAACAGCATGTGATGATCGCTGTCTGTTGGATTTCTATTACTCTATCAATTATTTGCCCTGTGAAATATTACGCCTTATATAGCGATGTTAGGCTGCTTTATCTTTTAACACAGTTTCAACGGTAAAGAAAAAATAAAAATAAATAAACGGATCTGTATAAAGAATTGACCCGTAATTTCCAGATGCATGTTCTGAGCTTAATCCGTTCAGTAACTTTCTCGAACCTGCATTACATAATCGGATTTGAGTCCATCTCCTTTAGAGTGTTTATGGTCAACAGGACTGAGGGCGCCCTTGTTGCCCAACCAAGATAGCACAGATTAGCCGGTGATTCACCGGAAGTACTCTTCAAAATAATTTTAGCTTAAGTAATTAGACCAAAACTTGAACGGGGTCTGCAAACTCGATTAATTTCTTTTGCAGCTATGGTCTCCAAAAAATAGACCCTTCCCCTCAAAATGATAATATAAATAAATAAATAAATAAATAAATAAATAAAAATTAAATAAATAAATACAAAAAATAAAGTTGGTCTGTGTTGCTGTGTTTGTTCATCCCAAAGAATTTTCCTAATTAAAATTAAGAAGATCCAGCTTCTGAGTAAAGTTCACAGTTCGATTGACACCAGTTAAATAATTCCTTCCTTCACCTGAAGAAGAAAAATTACACTGAAAATGTGTTTGTTATAACAGTTCAAAGAATCCCTATTCGAATAATTTGTTAAACATTTTTGCGTCAACGTGAAATTCAGCGTTTAATTTGGAATCAGATTTCCGCTTTCCGCCTCAGATGGTGTCGAACTTGACGCGGCAAAGCGTTTATAATCCGCTCAAGCGGTGAGTAAACAACCGATAGACCAACAGCGGATGGCTTTGCTTCTCGTCATTTCTCGGTGAGACTCGGCGCTCGGCGGACGTGCTTCGACGACGAGGCGACTGCTTTTCTTCCCAACCCGACCCGTCAGTGACTCTGCGTGTAAATGCTCACAGACAAGATGATGATGTCCCCGTGGGACCGCTGGTACTCCACAAGCTGCTGCCTTTGCTGCCATGTCCGCACAGGAACCATCATCCTGGGGGTCTGGTATATGGTGAGCATCCGTCTGTATCCCACTGCATCCCTGTAGACAATCAGCAGCAGCGGGGAAGCGTGGCCTCGTTGGAGGAATTCAGGTTGGATACTGTACTCCAACAAAAGGATGACATATTATTCCAGGATATTCTGATAATTTTTTATGGGTTTGTAAGCTTGTCGCAATAAGCAATTAATCGATTAATCGCGTGATAAGTTAAAAGCCCCCCAATAATGTCCATTCTGACGTTTAATATTTTTTGAAGGGCTATTTTGTTTTAAAGAGACTTTTTAATCTAATTTATTTACGGTTTTGTTTGCATTGGATTTAATTTTCAATTTATTGTTTTTGTCTTTTTTTTTTCTTTTTTTTTTATATACATTTAAAATATCTTCCTTGTCCAGGGTAAAGTGTTCTATACAAAATTGGAACTTATTGATCTTGTACAGGGCTGAATTTGAATTATTATGCCGTTAACTATACATTACGTAAAAATGGTCTCAAAATAACAATGTTTTCTTTTGTCGCAATAATTTCTGTCATAATTTATCGTCCAGATGACATGTGCAGCTAAGTGTATCCAACTATCACAGTTTATTCCAGGTTATTGTCTCCTAATTGAAAATGAGGAGAAAACCCAGCAGCCTTTTGAAGTAAATTTAAAGGCCATGTGGAAAAATCCTTTCTCTACCTGCTATTAATAAATCAGCAGCAGGTCTCTTCAGGTAGCAGGTTTGGTTTCAGGTTGCCTATTGAATGTGAGAATGTTCCATTTCTTCACCCTATCAATAGGGATGAATGAGTCATCAGCATAATGAACTGCACAGGCCAGAGATTGTGTTGTACAAAAAACACAAATTTCCAAGCAGACCTTTAATGTTCCTATGTTTATAGTATCCACTTAAACCTAGAGTTCATGTATGCATTTTAAGCTCTACAGCTCCACTGTACTTTGACTGTTTCTTACCCATATGCCCTCTGTTCCTAAGCTCATCAATGCCGTGGTGTTACTCATCCTGCTCACGGCCCTCAGTGATCCAGAAAAGTACCATCTGACCAGTGCTGAGTTGGCCAATGACCTGGATGTCATGGATGATGCCAGTAAGTATCCTAAAAACAAAGTCATAAGTAGAATGTCACAGTGTGTTTTCCACCCAACTGGCTACTATGCACTACTTGGTCTATCATACAAAACCCTGCTAAAATACATTGAAGTTTGTTACTGTAACATAAAATAATATGGGAAAATTTAAGGGGTGTTAGTGTCACATTAGTTTCACAGAAAAAAACCATAAAGTCATGCAACACTTGACTGTTTTAGTAGACTACCTCTCTAAGTAGTGGACAGTAAACACCTTTGTGTGACTATAACACCCAAAAGCACAGTCATGCAAACCTACTTTCCATCTGTCCAAAGAATTAGATAAATCCGTCTTAGTCCAGGAGTACTCTGGTCTTGTTTACCGCCACCACATGCCATTCATTCAGATTCCCTGATTCAGAATGACTATAAAGTCCCAGGATTAGATTTTCCCTGTAAGGCCGGCTGTGTTCCATATACAGCCTCTTCTTTTGAAACACACATGAAAACTAGGACACTTTAATGTGATTTATTTATCTGAGGAGTTTTCAGTGCCAAGGCTGGACAAACACTAAAAGTTAGAGAGAACTTCTGTGTAGTGTCGGACTGTTACTATCTACTGATTTGAGATAATCTATTAATTTTACTCAATAAGAAAAGCAACACCGTCAACCAAGACAACTCTACACAATTAATAAAAATATTATTTTCATTATGACTTATGATTATCTACTCTGTGAGTATATAATTAATGGCAACTAAATATTTTTGTAGAGACTAAGGAAACTGGAAACGGCTTTTTTTTAACACAACACCCTGATGTTTGCTTTGCACTTGTTTGAAAGTAAAGCACTGTTAAATAAATGTTAAGGTGACTAATGGATTTAAAGTCACCAGGAGACAAAGACTAGAAGTTAAAAGTAACTTGTTGCTGTATGTTAGCTAAAGTTGTTGTCCGCTATTAGCAAACATGGCTAATAGCCACCAACAGTCCAGCTAATTATCTCCAGATTAGCTGGAACACAAAACAGAGTATTATTGCACAGTTGCTCTATTTTGGAAAAAAATGTAATCACACTTGTCTAAATGTGATTAGACAAGTGTCTAAATACAAATGAGATTAATTGCAAATGAGGTCTGCAGTCGCACTTTCATTTTTGGTGTTCAAAATTCTCAGGTTCTAATTCTGTCAGCTCTCTTGACATTCAGGTAAATTAGTCGCTGCAAACAAAGGGACATATTTTCTGGACTAGATGTGATTCACCGGATGACTCATAGCTACAGTTTATTAAAGAAGTGCTGGATAATAAGTTATTGATTCACATGACACACAAGATGTTGTCTGGGTGAACTGTTCCAGTACTGCCGATGCTTTATCTGATTATACCAAGTTCTTATTTTACATAACAGTTATTGGTTTTCCTGTTACGCTAAGGGTGACGTGAGGTAAAACAAACAGCATGTGAGCCAAAGAACTGAGGTTTATCCCTTTTCTGCTTGACAGATATGGCATACCTTTATTGTTTCTATTTCTAGTTTGAATTTCTAATATTTTTTTAAAAATTTTGCTATTGCAGACATGTGCATTGCCTCAGCAATCTCCCTGCTGATGATCCTTATATGTGGAATGGCAACATATGGTGCATATAAGGTAAACTTAATGGTTATTTTGTAATATCTTTTTTTTTCTGTGGAAGAATTCTACCTTTCTGTCTCAAACGCTTTTGCCACAGCTGCGTGCCGCGTGGATCATCCCCTTTTTCTGCTACCAAATATTTGACTTTGCTCTCAACGCCCTGGTGGCTGTCAGCATTGTGGTGTATCCAAACACAATACAGGATTACCTGCAGCAGCTGGTAAGTGTCACATCATATAAGTACAAATGAGGTACGCTCCTTTATGTTTACCTGTTGGCTGTTTAATGATGGCTGTTTTTTTCTTTTTTTCACTCATTTGCAGCCGGATAATTTCCCTTACAAAGAGGAAGTGGCTGCGCTCAGTAACATCTGCCTGGTCCTCGTTGTGCTGCTCTTCATTGGCTGTATCATTGGCTTTAAGGTAAAACCTTCTTTGACTTCATAGTAAGAACACTGGCATACATTCAAAAGTGGTTTTTTTTTATCAGTATAAATACTTTTTATATTTCTTTCACATATTCTCAGTTGGAAGTCTATTTGAGCACCGTTTAGGTGTTTTTAAGTTTTCATAGGGAGTAATGAGATTACAGCATGATACTAAGACACACATTTATTAATAGATATGTGATAATTGAAACATAGAGATATGTATAATTTTATAATATTTTTATTTCTATTTTATAAAAATAAGTTAAAGCCAAAAAATTACATATAATTAACATTATGTAAAAATTATAAAATTATTGAGTATTAGTTTCTGTGGAATTTTTCCCACTTCTCAATTACTGTGTGTTGCTAAAATCATTCATTATATTGATTATAATACAATATATGCTAAATTTAGTTGTTTTCAAATGCTTAGTGTGTAAAATATTACAATTTTTTTCTGCAATAATCTTTACACAGTAATAAATGCCAGTATTTCTGTTGAATTTTCTAGCCTGCAGTCTGCTTCTTGTCAGATGTGTTTTTCAACCCATATATCTTCCAAAAAGGGAATTTCCTCTTGAAAACGAGCAACAAGTACAGATCCACTGAATAAATGAGAATATCACTGAAAAGCTCCATGTATGTCAGGAATTTTATCACAAAGTGAAACATATCATCTCGATTCATTCCACACAGACGGATATTTGGAAGCCTTTATTTCTGTTCCTCATGATGATTTTCCACATAAGGCTAATGAAAACTTAAGAATTAAAATTAGAATATTACGTCAAACCAATTAAAGAAATATTTTTAAAAACAGAAATATGGGCTTATTTAAAAGTATGTGGTTAAACGTTTCTACTTTCAAAAGGTACTTTCAGTCTGACAAACGAGTCTCATCTGGACATATTTTCTAATTCACTGAATATGACTGTAGTGTGCAGCAACAGGCAGGGGAGGGGCCGTGCTGCATTATTAATCTACACCCAGCTGAAGAAAACTCTTTCTTGGTTTGTGTCATCTACAAACCATCATCCTGATCACACACTGACCCTCCTCTGCAGAGAGCTGGGAAGTTAAATAACCCAGCCCTGTTCCTCCCTGTCCAGTCCCAACTCCCCCAGCTACTCCCCTCCCGGTCCCGCCCCAGGAAGCAGATCTTTGCCTTCCTGCGAAGGCCTCTTTAAATCACACCGGCTCATCTCATTGGCCTGTGACAGAGCGGCTTTGGGCCGTGGAGCAGATGGACGGGTGGATGGACGCGGCAGATGGTGTTGTGTTGAACAGAGGAGCTCCAGTGGCGATCCGCCTGCCGAGAGCAGAAAGGATTCTGTGGATAAAGAACACAACAGGAGCTTGTTTCTCCTTCTTCTGCTAAATGATGGATGGGTCTCAGGCAGATCCAGTAAGCTGAGAACCAACTCCAGCCTTTCATGCGCTGCGAGGCGTGCTGCTCATGTAGTGCAGCACGCATGTCTGCATGCAGGAAGTAAATCATTTAACACGGCTTCTCTGGGGATGAGACGACCCGACTGCAAATTTACACGAACTCTTAGAGAAATGTTAAACAGACTGCTGCTCGGTTTCCGTCTTGTGAAGACAAACATGTCTGCCTAGAATCACCGATTATCGTCGATTACTTTTGTAAACTCCTCAACATTTTTCCCAGTTGGTAGAGTTGGTATCAGGTCATCTGAGGTCCTCCTTCGTTTTTCTCCTGTCCCATCCCAGGCCTACCTGATCGCCTGTGTGTGGAACTGCTACAGATACGTGAGCGGCAGGGGCGGTTCTGAAATCCTGCTCTACGTCACCACCAACGACACCACAGTGAGTCACTGTCTACCGTCTACACACACATTCAATAAATCCAATTAAATCACAAAAAAAAAAAGAGTCCATTTATTTCAGGAACGTTGCCACTCAGTCCACAACTTGTGACTCTGGAGTTTCCCTGCAAAAACACAAAATCTTATCAAGTATTTTTTAGTCTAGTTTCTAGCGCAAATGTATTAGAACACTTAAAATAAGACAAAACAAACTCATAGGTAAGTTTTCAACAAGATATAGGAGCTTGTTTTAAGTCTATGATTCCTTACTATTGATGAAAAAGTTCTAATTTCATTGACAGACTGAGATAGGAAAATATTCTAAGTAAAATAATCTACCAGAGGAACTAGAACTTCTTCATTAATATTAAGGAACTACTGACTTAAATAAGCTCCTATATCATCCCTTAAAACTTAATTATGAGTTAGTTTTGTCTTATTTTAAGTGAGATATTTGCACCAGATTTGCACTAAAATACTCGGTGAGATTTTGTGCTTTTGCTGTGTTCCACAAAATTTTGCTAAACTAACTAATATTTTTAAGTATAGATATATTAACAAATGATTTTATGTTTTATTAGTTTTTTCCCATTTTTTTCAATGAATAATTGCACTAAACTTCTACAACAGAATGACTCTAAAAGTAGCAGCTCTTGTCATTACTTTGGAAACTATATGCTTTTTTTTCTTACATAGTTATATAAATATCTCATGGAAGAAAATACATCCATCTTTTTTTGCAAATATTTGAATTTGTTTTAAATCTAAAAATAGAAATAAAATTGTAGTTCTTCAGCAATTACAACAAATTTCCTATAGTAAATATTTACTTAAAAAAAAAAAAAAAGCTTTTCCCAAAACTTCATCTAACATTTGTGGCTCTAAACGAGTTTTATTCAGCAGAACTGTCTTTTATTTATTCCCTTTTCTCCAGTGAGAACAGGAACTTTAAACAGAAGCTGGAGAAAAGAAAACCTGAGTTTATGTCTTCTGGCAGCCCAGCTGTGCTGCAGGCGTTCCAGTGGCCGCCTGAGCTCCTCCTCTTCAACACTAATATCTCTGTCAGTCTTCATGTCCAGCGAACAGCTGTGCAAACAACTTTTATTAACAATACCTGTAAAGACGATTTCCACATCAGATCAGAATATGTGAAAAGCAGATAGTTCTGTGGAAGAATAAACTGTATTACCATAAATATGCACAACTTTTAAAGCGTTTTGCAGAACTGCTAATCCCCCTTTAACTGCTTCACGTTCACTCTCATATCAACCACAGAACCGACTGTTTTTGTTCTGAGTTTAAGTGAAGAAAAAGTGGAAGAAAAATCATCCGCAGTTTTAAATTACTAACCAAAAAAAATCTCACTCCTCCTATTCACACAAGAGGAGTGAATGTTGTTGTACTTGTGAAGAGACGTTCAATATGAATTCATTTTAAGAATTATTCACTTCTTGGATGCAGAGACTATTTTTACATAAACTATTTACTGAGTTGTAATTGACAAATTCACTTGGACTTCCCTTTATTTGGGGGTATCGTGCAAAAGAAGTGGCTGAACATAATCGCATGCCACACTTTTCAGATCTGTATTTCTAAAAAAAAAAAAAGTCTTCCTTTTCCTTCCACTTATCCATTTTGTGTTGATCTCTTGCAAGAAAATCCATTATATAAAAATATGAATATAACTTTGTAGTCATTATGCGACAAAAACGAGGAAAAGTTCAAGGCGCATGAAGACTTTTTTTTTTTTCTTTATTTTCTTGTCGTTCATCCAGTCCCGGGCTGCGCTCATGTTTTTATCGTCTGCGTAGGTTTACTTCTGCTTTAGCCAGTCTGTCTGCTGCGTAGCCAACATGTCGAAGGCAGGAAGGAAACATAAAGGCGTTTGTGGAAGCAGGCGGCTTTACAGAGGCTGGACGAACAGGGACGAGGCTCCGCTCTGCCAAAGCCATCAGCCTGCAGCCTGGATGGAGACCTGAGGCTCCACTGCTGCCACCCACTCACTAATTAGAACCACTTATAGCATGACAGGACGGAGGCAGTGGAAACACTAATCATCTGCTTTTACCATCCGCTCTTAATACCTGTCTCCATAGAGACCAGCATGTCCGCAAGGCATAGTCTATGTTTGATTCAAAACCCGCGTTTGGAAAACGTTTTTTACAGTTGAAACCAGAAATTTAAGGATGATAAAAATACACCTGCGATTTTTTTTTCTCAATGTCTGCAGTGAAATCAGATGAAGCTTTTCTTATTTTAGGTGAATTTGAATTTCCAAAAAATTATTTCTATTTGCTAAATGCCAGAAAACATAAAAAAAAAACAAAAAAAAAAACCCATTTATTTTTTGTGACTTTCTCAACCCAGTCAGGTGTTTAGGGTGTGTAAGAGAGACATTTAACATAAAAAGTTGCCATATTTCAGTTTATTCGTCATAATATCCTCTTCATTGTCAGATGAACAGGATATAGGATATATGTAATAGTGAATTGAAACAGTCTTTTTTTAAGTTAATTTGTACTTTTATTTCTAAAGTGTGGTTTGAAGACGTACTTTGAAAACTTTTGAAAAGTTCTGTGGGAAAATCATTTGTTTCGACTTCACTGAAAAAACAGAGCAAAGCTTTGACTTAAAAATAAGAATGAATTTGTTACATGTAATCAAATTAAATTTGTCAAACTTTACCTACATTTGCTTTACATGACAACTTAAGAAACTTACTACACTTATGTGATTACTTGTAACAAATGAACTAGTTTTTTTTAAGTTGGACCACCTGTTTTCTTATTATTTTTCAGTGTTTTACCTTGTTCAGTTTCACACGTATTTAGATGAACATGTGCTCCCAGTCTGCAGCGTTTCAAGCAAACACTCCACATATTAATACGTTGTGTGGTTTTATGTGTCGCCGTGGACGTTTAGGAAGCGGGGACGTCTATAGGGTCCTGATGAGTAAAACACCTGGCGGTGCAGAGGGGAAGTAGGAGGCCTCTCCGCTGCCTGACAACAGGAACCCGTCCATTTATCTCCTAGGATCAGCCTCAAGGTTCCATGTTTTTTCAGTTAAAACAAGGCGTATTCAATTAGAGCCTGGTACACACACACACACACACACACACACACACACTGCGGGCTGCTCTGTGGCTTTTGGTTAACAGCCTGAGCGGTGAAACAGAAGTAAAATGATGGTTTAGGTCGAAAGTGCACAAATAGAGTCCATGTGGGACGAATTTCTGGGCGAGCATTGAGTGGTTGACTCCCACTCAGAAGCAATAAGGTTCCCATTAAAATGCATCAGAGTGTGAAATGAGGGTCGTTTCTCTTTATGAGGTTGATGTGGTGGTGGGAGGAGGGGCAACATTTGCTTTGACTGCTTAGGTATAAACTTGATCCATTTTGTAACGAAATACATTTTCGCAGCGTTTTGTGCTGAAGTAAAACAACAGCTGTGTCCAACACAGCTCGACACATCATTAGCTGTGTTTCCATTGGCCGAATAATTGAGCACTTTGATATTTCAAAAATAAATTCGCTTAAAGGAAACATGGTAATTTTGAAAAACAAAAAAAAAAACCCAACAACAACTCGTTTTTAGATAAAAAAGTTTTGGCAGCAGGAAGAGTATTTATTTATTTATTTATTGGCTGTATCAAAGTTGGTTTATTTCACAAATCTAAAATAAATAAATAAAATGTTTTTTTTTAATTATTTTGGGTCATCATTATAATGTCGAGAACATGTGTAATTTATTTTTTTTGCAACACTTGCACAGAATGGAAAATGGAGAATATTTTATATAATATTTAATATTGCATTTGCATTAGAACTTCACAAAAACAAAATAAAGTTGATTCTGATTCTGGGTTGTTCAAGACAGAGTGATTCTCGACCAAATATTTAGGAAAAATAGAAGTAAAATTCTTGTTTGAAAGGATGAAATGAAATAAATATGCAATGCTTTATCTTGAAATAGAAATAAAAATAATAAATCATATGTGTAGGTCATCTTGAAGACGGTCAGTGGAATCAGTTGCTACAGCAAGTTTCTCCTGACTGCTATTACCTTTTGTTAGAAATAAAATTTAGCACAAATGAAACAGAACTACCAGAAACTACTTCACCGTAGTTTTCCAGGAAGGAAGAGAAATGACAAATGAAGCACGGGTAAAAGTGAACAGTTAGGCATTTGAGGGCCAGGGCAGTTCATGTCTGTAGGAACGGACTTTCTCAATGGCTTACTGTTTAAAACATGGGACCCATCAGTGAGACACATGGTGTTGTATATGAAGCCAGCTGAACCGTTCAGGGAGCTCACGCTTTTGTCGGCCACATGGTGAGAAGCGACTTCAGCGGGTGTTGATTTACTCAGCTGCTGAATGAGGCTAAAGACTCTTAGGTATTTTATTTGATGGGATCTCAGGTTTCTGATCTCTTAAAAACAAACTTTCTTTTGTTTTTAGTTTTCTTTCTCTCATTCTTTGTTTCTTTCGAGTTTCTTCATTTCCTTTCTTCTCTGTCCCTATCCTTATATTTGCACTGCATAATGTTTCTCCTTTATGTTTCCTCATGCCTGTCGCTCTTTTGCTTGTAGGCTAACATGAGGCAGGGTTGAAATTTTCAAAGTAATTAAACAGGATCTATCAGCTGTAGCCTGGACGTGAGAAGACTGAGTGAAAATGACAACCAGGACTTTGAACATGTGGTCAACAGTCTGGTTTAGAGCCCAATTCCAATCTCAAATATCACAGTGCTACAGATTCCTTATATAAATTTGCTCAAGATGTTACTTTTTAATTTAAGTATTCTAACTATAGCTATAAATTAATCCCTAAGTTCATCTGCTTAATAATTTAAAATGTTACAAAGCCATATTAGGCAAACATTCTAATTTAGTAATACTCACTGTAATATATATATATATATATATATATATATATATATATATTTTTTTTACATTTTTCTTTCCCCATTTCCTGCTTTTTCTAGATGTTGCCTTAGCATTGCACCACATACTTTGTGAAAAACAAAACAATGCTGATCAAAATATTCTCCTGTGTGTTTTTTTGTTGTTGATAATTTGCAGGTGCTGCTTCCTCCATATGATGACAACATCAGCGTCCCGTGCAAACAGGCTCCTCCGTCCTACATCTCCGCTGAGGCGACGGCATGAAAACATTCCGATGTTGGGATCCTGCAGATCGGATCCTCCCGTTAGCACTCGATACGACACACTCCAGCAAAACGACGCACCACACTGCCTCACTATGTTCACAAATATCCACGATAGCACACATCGCTCAGCGAACTCCCATTCCATCTCGCCGTTACCAACCAAATTGTAATGTATCAGTTCTCTTCCTCCTAGGTTTATCCAGGAGCGATTAGCATACTGTATGCCTTAGATTGTGGCTGAAATGACATGAAAGCTGTAGGAAGTCGCATAGATTACATATATTTTTGTGAATTCTATTTATTCTTTGTGCGTTTGTAACAGTATTATTGGGTCTTATTTATCTAGTCATATTTATGTTATGCTCAAATGCAACAGTAGCTGCGTTTCCATTACAAATGTGCACAAATCTTTGTAAAAAAAAAAAAAACTAAACTAAATTTTGCAATTGCAAAAAAAATTGTTTCCATCAAATAAGAAATGAAGCTAAAGCCACACATGAATAAGTCTGTTCATGCAGTAAGTCTTTGCAAAACATGGCGGCGACGGATGTAAACAGTTACATTAGAAATATTCATAATTCATCTGAAACGTTGCGTGTGAGAGCTCTCATGGAGCCAGCTGCATGTTGTCAGAAAAAATAAAAGCACACCATCATCCTGCTACCACTTCCTGTCGTCTTCTTCATCGTTTCCGCCAGTAGTAACATCCAGCTGTTGATCACTTAATGTGAAAAAAGTCACGTGAAAAAGTTAACTGTTACATCTATACATCTGTTTTGTATGAAATACATGTATTTCATTTGGCTGAAGAACCACCTCATCACACTGTAAAAACCTTTTTATTGAAACCAGTGAGTTTTTTCGAAATTGGCATGTTTCTGTTTAGCGAATTTATTTTTTGAATTTAAACTTGCACATATTCTATAGTTAATGGAAACGCAGCTAGTGAACGGTATGGATCAGCGTGGAAATGGATACGGAGTTATTCGGTATCAGTCTTGTCTGCTCGTGATCAGGGTTGGATTGCCTTCTCTCTCTTTCTCTCTCTCTGTTTCTCTATAACGGGTTGCACTTTATCGGCTCATGTATGAAGTGTCCCCTTAACTTGAAGTTTTCCAAAGAGATGTATCTGCCTGTATTCTGACATGATCAAAGAGCCGCCCTAATGTACATCACCAAGCATATCACCTCTTTTTCTGTGTTCTTTTTGACTGATTACATGGCTGTAATCAAGATCGTAGCGTTGTGAACTTTTAACTGCGTTTCTACCGACCGACGAAGAACGTCTTAGCTTAGCTTCACTTACTATTTTTAAAGCACATTGGAGGTGCTGATCTGGAATCAGTTAGCTGTGTGAATGCGGGGAAACTGGAGCGTTGGGAAAGCAGGTCCTGCTTGTGTTTTATCAATCAAAGAAAAGAAAAAAGCAGCTTTTTGCTCTGTGTAAACATTACACAACCATGTTCCACCAGATGGACTTGTTGCTGCCTGAAAACAAAACGCTCTGCAAGGATGCAAAAGTCTCTGTTTTGTGGAAATAATTGATGTGATATTTTTGTCTATTAAAACCAAATTTCCTGAACAGATGTTATGTTTTATTTCAAGATTTGGTACTAATCAGTTCAAAGCTCAGCTTGTGTATTAAGCTGAGAGACCTCTCTGTACGACGGAAAGTTTTCACAGCTCTTCACTTTTTCCATATCCGGCCCATCATAAACTTTTATGTGTAACCTCTGAAATTACAGTTGTGTTTTTAAATATTATTTTGTTAATAAAAACACAGTTTTACTCTACATGAAGGTAAAATATATTTAATATTATTTAATCTCAAGAGGAACTCGTTGAATGCAGAGACAGCTTTCTATTAATATTTTAATAGTTTTTTTAATAGGTAGTTTCATGAATGCTTTCTGCCTCAAGTATTTTGTTGATCTTGATGAGGCCCAAAGTAAAATAAGTTTGATACTTCTGTATTACAGTCTTACTCCAGCTTGTATTAAATGAACCTCTTTCCTCCAAATCGTACACACAAACACTTTATTTTAACAATATGGAATAACATTTTAGACATTTATGGTGACTTTATTAAGGGTAATTACACTTACATAAGTATTCACGGCTTTCATTGTAAAATAGCGTGACACAAAGTATTATGCAGCTGTGAAGTGTAAGAAGAATGGTGGTTTTCAAAATATCTTACAAATATAAATCTGAACTGTGTGGTGTGCACATGCACTATCCAGCCCACTAAACAAACCGCAGCCAATTTACCTTCAAAAGACTCATGTCTGGACTATATTTCTGCATAATTTATTGTCTGTATGTTTTGTGAAGTCCTCAGAGGTTTGTTAGTGAACAAACAGCGTCATGACAACCCAGGAAAACAACAGGCTGGGAAGACGTTTAAAGCAATGTTACGTAATGAGATAATATTTCAAGCTCTGAGCATTTCACAGATTCAATTCATCTGAAAACGGAACGGGTTCGTCGGATGCTAAGTGTGGCTGAACATCAAACATGGCAGCTGATGCATGCTTATCAGCTAATCAGAGGTTATATGAAGCGTTCCTACACATCGAGTAATTTTTTCTGAGTTTTTATTCCTCATTATTCTCATGTTTTTTATTAAAATATTTAAACGCTGTACAACATGGGAACGTTATTAATTCTGTTCTATTTGCTTGGAAAGTTCGGTGACAATATGTCACTGAAATAAACACAAGCTGTAGTTGCAGGTTTACAGGCAGGCTGAGCTGAACAAGAGGCGTCTCCGAAGTTTGAGTCAGAGGGAGTGTAAAAAGAGAGGTGAAGCAGATGGAGGACGGGACTGAGCGAAGCAGGGAGACACACTTCTGGAATATACATACATATATGTGAATATTTACGGCGGAAGGCAGCAATACTGGAAAAAATATTTCCAGCAGAGCTTTTCTTTTTGATTCCGTTCTGGGAGAGAATGAGATATTGTTTCAAAGGAACTTACAACTGATTCAGTTTTTCCAACAAGGTGAGTGACTTTCAAAGCTTTCAACGTTAGAACACAGTTTTGTTTCCATTCTGGCTAAGGCTAATCCAGGAAACAGATTATTTAATGCTTACTTCAGGGTCTGGGCTCCCTTCACCTGTGTCAGGAAAAGTCATCAAGTACGGAGAAATTATCAAAACAGAGATCAGGTTTAATAAAAGTTGATCAGTTCATTGTTGTTTGTTTGAGATAATAGTAAACATATTATTTTGGACTTATTTTATTAAGCAGAAAACATAGATACAATTTCAATATATTTAAAATGACAGTTTTTTTTAAAAACTTATGGCTTACTATAAGCTAAGGATGAGCCTTTATTTAATTGTTCATCATTTATCATAATAAATTTCTTATAAGAAGTGTGATTTATCATTGTAGTAATAAATTCCAATTGGTTATTTTTAAAAACCCCCAACACTGTCCGTATTGTTGGGATTTTTTATTTCACTATTTTCTCCACTCTTTGTTCAATAGAAGTATCAACAAATGTCAAAACATTTTCAAAACTTTGTGTGCAGTTTAGTGATACTAATTACACTTTATGTGACTGGTGTCCTAAAGAAGTGTATAGCAAATGTTTTTCAGGATCAGTATTTGTTGTCTGTGTGGCTATTATTCCTGTGTCACAACTATACAGTCACCTTAAAAAGAAGTAGTTCTTATTGTCACTTTTGTTGTTATCACAATAAGTATTGTGATTTTTAACTCCATATCGCCAGCGTACGCATTATTTTACTGTTGAACAGAAGAGGGTTAGGGTTAGACAAGTAGTAAAGAGGTGTCAAACCAAAGTGAGGTCAGAGGTCAGCTTATGAGTGCGGTAAACATGACCTCTGTTTGACCCAGGTCAGCAACTACAGTAGAAACTGTTCCTCTGTTCAGCGGTCCATGATATCAGCTTTTCCTGCTTCATCTGAACAATCTTGAAAGTTCATATTTACCACGATCTGTCTTTCAATGTGGCTGTATTTGTAGTTGTAGTGATTGTTGATATTTTTCTGATTTTTTCTAACTTCGGTGGCAAACAGTCTGAATATGGCAGACAGAGAATGGCTCTCCTGGGAGCCGGATTGGGAAACAGTCTGTACTACCTGTCAGCCTCTCTTAAATCAACCTAAACCACCTGTGTGGATAAAAATCCAGTGGCTCTGAACCCAAACGATGCCGATGGCTAAATACAGTCCTGAAGTGTCAATGGACTCTCAGTCGCAGCTCTGTAGGATTACAGTGGGAAGTCTTGTTTGAGGTTTCTCAGAATGCGCCATTTCAGATCCTAGAGGTGTTTTTCCTCCAGGTGAAGTCATCAGAGGTCTGCGCTCTGAGGAACCAAAGGGTGCAGTATGTAAAATTATAAAAACATATGTGTTAAAACTGTCACTACGTCATGACAGTACTTTATGAGACAGATAATCTGTGAAAAGATCGATCTCCTCCACCTCCTTCCTGAGCTGCTACTGTCATCTGAAGAAATGTACCAATCCTGATCAATCAGAGCCTGGAGGAGGGGCTTAGCGCTGTCAATCAACCTCATGTTCTCACTGCTAAATGTGCTAATGGCGGAGAAACAACTTAAAGTTACAGGAAAGCCATTTATCCACTGTCATCGGTGGCTATGCTAACTAGCCTTAGCGCTCATGACAGGCTGTGCAATGGGAGAGGCAGAGGCAGAGATGAGCAGTGCCACAAAAAGGGGTGATTGACAGCACTAATACCTTCCTCTGATTGGTTGGTTCTAGTTAGCACTGTGAGAAGGCAGAGGAGCTCGATTTTTTTCACAGATTTTCTGTCTGATTTTCATTTTTGCCTGGGAGCCGTGCATTTCTGCAAAACAATAGCGGCTCAGGGAGGAGGCCGAACTTTTCGTCTTATAACGTACTGTCACAACATAGTGACAGTTTCAACAAATATGTAAAACAATTTTTTTATAAAAGTTACACACTGCAGCTTTCATGTCTGGAGGAAAACCATTTTATGATAAAAATTAAGGTAGTAACCCTCTTTGGAATCGCAGTGGGGAAACAGTGATCCTTAGCTTCCAGGAACTGATGTCAAAACACAATATTGATAATGAATCATTGTTTTTCTACTTCAGAATAAGAACTAAGGGAGTAATCAAAAAACTTCAAAGAATCCTAAACCTCTTTATATTCATATCAATTTCTGCCATGGATTTTATTTGACGCCAGTCGTTTAGACACAAAATGGCCGCTGCACCAGATGGGTTCTGCTGGTTCTGCCCCCCTTGACCCTCAGGAGACTTTGGTTTCTTTGTTCATACTGTCTGGGAATATTCAGCGATTCAGGATTTATGAACTAAAAGAATATACTGTAATTTGTGGCAGGAGTTACTTCTTCACTGGAACCCTGTGTACATTTGATAAATGACTCACAGTAGAAATTGATGGAGAGAGTTGGAAGAACTTGGCAAGCTGAACCAAGTGCAATGAAGAAAACCACTGATGGAGATGGAGCTTCACACAGCAGAGCCTTTGCTCATAGGGTCAGACTATATATGTGGACATTGCTTATCTAGAGCTATCTTTAGCAAGAATTAACGGTGAAACCCCAAATACTATGGAATCCTGGAGAGATTTAACAGATTAAATTAAAAAGCAGCTTTTGAACTAGAAATTCTAGAGTTAAGATCTATGCTTGGTGACTTAGGGGAGGAGATGGGAGAAGATTAAAGGAATTCATATCTTTTTTTTCAATGCCATAATTTATTATGAAAAATGAGCTTGAAATGTTTTTCTATACCTTATGTGTGAAACATCTCTTTTAACAGACTGGATTATTAGAATCTTCTAGTATCAAAATAAAGCAAATTCAAATTCAAAAATACTTTGTTAATCCCAAAGGGAAATTAAATGTTGTTGTAGCTCATCAATATTCTTCAAAGAGGCATTGAAGAAGATGGCGATGGCTGTCAATAGGAGAGGTCTCCTGTAGCGGTCTGTACCACACTGAGCCTGAAGAAGCCTCTGACTGAAGATGCTCAGTCAGCCTCATGAAGAGGACAGTCAGGATCGTCCATAACATTTTTGTCCATAGCAACATTTTTGATTCAGTTTTAGATTTTCCTTTTCTGTCAGTTTTTATATATATATATATAAGTTTTTATCATTTTTTGCCTTGATGAACAAAAGTCTCTGCATATGTTCTCATATTCTGCATCATACCATGGCAGTGTACAGTGCCTGTATGTACAGTATGTGCTTTGAATGTATAAATTCTGCAGAGAGAACAGCATCTCTAATTTATTATTATTCTTATTAATCAAATTTATTACTGACAATTAGCGCTTTGTTTCAGCTGTGGCTGGTGTTAAAGTGGTTTATAAATAAAGTTGTTGATGATGATAATGATACTTCTGAAGTCAATGATGAACTGTGTGAAGCAATTTATTCTTTTATCCTGCATGTTAAAGGGGCAGCATTATGTATTTTCCAGTCACATACAGTCATTTTATAGCGTCTGTTACCTTCAGTTGTTATAAAAATGCTAGATATATAGGCCTCTGTCTATTTAGAAACTCATTTTCTTTCTTGAAATAATAAGAATAACCCCCAGATATGATTTTGTTGACGGAATAATATCACAATATGATATAAAGCTCAAAAAAGTTGATTTTACATCATACTGATCCTTTAATGAGGCTTGAAGCCCTTTTTAGGTTTTCAATATTTCATGATGTTGAGATTTACCTGCTCAACAATAAAAAATGTTTATTATTGAGCAGGTAAATCAAACAAATAAACAAAACCATCAAAATAAAGTAACGTTTTGCATTTTTAATTTAATGAATTTTGAGGCTTGCCAGTAGTTTAAATTTACCCGTTTTGGCCTCAAAGGGTAAAAAGTTTGAAAACCACCTTCAACAGTTCTTCACACAATAACTACATAATGGATTAAATATGATTTTTTTCTACTTTATGTTGGAATCAGAAACGCCCCAGTAAAATGCACTGATGTTTGTGGTTGTAACAGGGCAGCATGAATCAAGGCTCCCTATTGGACAGCAGACTTCCTGGCTTGTTGCCTCTCTGAGTTTCTGTTTTGTCATTTCCATCCAGATGAGCTCTCATCTTCTGATTTTATAAATCCCTGTTATGTTATGTTAAGAAAAATTTTCTATAATATGCTAGTTTTAAAACTTAACGTCTTGATTAAAATAGTTTTCAGATTAATAACTTATTCTGCCCTATTGACCTTTATTTTATCTGTAGTTACAGCAGATTGTTTGCTAAGGTCTTTTTGAAAGTGCCCTGTGTCTGTGTCTGTGTGGAAAAACAATCAGGATAAGTTCCAGTTTTTCACACTGATCTGTGAAAAGCCGTAAAAACAGCAGGAGATCAGGAGAAGCTCTGCTTCCACTTTGTTTAGATAAAGGAGACAACTGGTGTATGATCTTCGAAACAAATTGCAGGGAGTTTCTAACTTTAAAGAGGGTCAGAGACAACATCTGGTTGGATGAGCAAAGATACGCCTTATTTGAATAAATTAAAGACAAGAATACGCCTTTACTATAAAACTTTCTACACAGGAGTAACAAATTAGATTTGCTCTTGCAATTCTCCAAAGACGTCTTTGCACGTATTTGCTTTTCCTTCTTTCTTTTTCTTCCTTTCTTTCTTTTTCTTTCTTTCTTTCTTTCTTTCTTTCTTTCTTTCTTTCTTTCTTTCTTTCTTTCTGTCTTTCTTTCTTTCTGTCTTTCTCTCTTTCTTCTTTTCTATTTGTCTCAGGTAAATGAATGTCTGTTTTAGTGTATTTGAAGTGTCTGTGTTGTCAATGTGATTTTATACTTTTAAATGTTAGAATAAACTCTGAAAATGTATGCTGTGGAGTGTTGACTGTCATCTCTGTGTGGCTTTTGTTTCCACGCATGGAATCATGGAATCTGGAAGCACAAGAGACTATAACGAGCCAGAAGTTTTTATTTTTATTCTCTTAACAGTTACCTCTCTGCTGCAGTTGTCTCCTCTCTCGTCATGAGGTCAATGGTCCTGGCCTTCTTCTGCCTGCTATGCTGCAGCGCGGCGCGTCCAGAGAGACGCCGTCCCAAATTGGTCCTGGTCAAACGACGAAATGACACAATCATCCAGAACAACACACCGGGTGAGAGACTCGGTGTTAACGAGACGACTTGCACTGTCGTCTCGTTTGATACGATTGATAAGATTTTGCGCCTTTGCAGTGTGTATCTCTGCTCTGGTCGTCTTTGGACCAAAATCTGACCTCAGCCCTCTTCCTGATTTTCAGAGAATCCATGTAAAGCCACAGCGCTGGATTTCGTCTTCGTCATTGACAGCTCCAGGAGCATCCGACCTGAAGACTACGACAAGGTCAAGACCTTCATCATCAACCTGCTGCAGTTTCTCGATGTTGGCCTCAACTCCACCCGCGTGGGGCTGCTGCAGTATGGCAGCGTGGTCCAGCCTGAGTTCTCCCTTAACACCCACACCTCCAAAGCCCAGGTGGAGGAGGCTGTGAGAAACATGCAGCATCTGGCCACCGGCACCATGACCGGCTTGGCCATCCAGTACACCATGGAGGTGGCGTTCACCGAGGAGCAGGGGGCCCGACCAAAGAGCCTGCAAATCCCTCGGATCGCTATGGTCGTGACGGACGGGAGACCTCAGGACACGGTGGAGGAGATCGCGGCTGAAGCAAGGGAGGCCGGCATCCAGATTTTTGCTATCGGAGTGGGACGGGTGGAGATGAAGACCCTGAAGGCCATAGGAAGCCAGCCCCACTCTGAGCACGTCCATCTGGTGGCCAATTTTAGTCAGATAGAAACCCTGATCTCAGTGTTTAAGTCCAAGCTGTGTGGAGGTGAGCAATCCCTGACCTTGGTTTTAGTTGTCGTTATTCATTGCAGAGCTGTGCTTTAGTGTTTGTGCGTGTTCATTAGGTTCAGACATGTGCAAGGTGGTGGAGCATCAGTGCCAGCACATCTGTGTGAGCAGTCCCGCCTCCTACAGGTGCAGGTGCCGAAAAGGCTTCACTCTCAACCCGGATGGGAAGACGTGTAAAGGTGAGTCTCTGACTGTTAAACATTTCCAGAGCAGCTGTTCTGAAGCGGTTAATGACCTGCCGCCATGTTGTCTGTCTGAAGCTGAGGATATGTGCGCCGCGGCGGACCACGGCTGTGATCACATCTGTGTCAACCTGGCTGATGGCTACGAGTGTCGCTGTCGTCCAGGTTATGAGCTCACCATTGACCTGAAGACATGCAACAGTAAGAAGTCTCACTTTGACATGGACGATCCTCGCTTTATCCTGCTCATTCTTGTATTTTAAAGGGGTAGTATTATATGTTTTCCAGCCATGTAGAATCATTTTCTAGCAGTGTCAGGTACCTATATTACCATCAGTTGTTATAAAATTATGTCTTGAAAGAAATTTGACATGGTAATTTAAAGCCTTATAGTTGGGCCTCTATCTCTTTAAAAACTCCTGCTCTTTCTGAAACTCCACCTCACAACAATTCATCATCAGGAATTCATCACAACATGTCTCCTCTAATAACCCTCTAGCGATGTTTCTTTTTACCATTGTTTGACTGAGAAATAGCTTTTATAGTGAGCTCAGTAGATGAGCAGTTCCACCAGGTGCTAATTGCTGCTGGCTAGCTGGTGGTTGCTGGCTCTGAATGAGCTGAGTGGGGGAGTTGTGGGGGAAGGTCTGCTCTGTGCTTGGAAGCTTGGAAGATGCAGCTCTGAGGAGGAGCTTCGTCTCGAAGGTGGGGCTTGGGCCACACAGGCATTATGCACAGTTGAATGGTTGCCATGGGAAATTTAAGGATTTGTCAAACATGCATGAAAGAATTAAGGCAGCACTCTTTGATGTCTTAGATGATGAAATAACATTATCACAGAAAAGTTTAACTGAAAACTTGCCATAATTTGTATATTTCTAGTTGTAGGGAAAAAGCCCCAAAACATTGGAAACCATGAATCATTTTCCTTCTACTTCACAATTATGATCATCTTTGTGTTGATTTATTACACTAATTTCTAATTAATGCGTTGATGTTTGTGTTTGCATTGTAACAAGTTCAAGGGACACAAACACTTTTTCAGGGGTTGTAGTGTGACGCAAATCTTACTGTTTTCGCCTTAAAGACGACGTGCGCAAAATATGACAAAGTTTTGATTATGATCATGAATGATCTGAATAAATAAGGCCTTGCAACATATGTGGCAGACGAGGCTAAAACAGTCACGCTGAGCGGTTACTACGAAAGCATCTCTTGGAAATAAATGATCTTTGTGGCCCTCCGGCTGAAACCACAGCCAGCAGCCCTGCTACTACTGATGTCTTGTCCACCCACTGCTGGGAAAGCTTCCCTTTGCTCTCTTGGTGTATGCTAACACACACACAAAAAAAAAAAACAAGCAGAGGGGGATTTCCTGAAGGATGTGTGTTTCAATCATCAGAAATGTAGACTTGTATCCAGGCTGAATCCAAACACATCTACCTGACCGATCCCGAATTCACCACAGTGCCCCTGAAGGGAGGATTGAAAGTTACACCAATTTTTTTTTTTTTTAAGTCTGTTTCATTCGTCGATGTTTTATTAGTCCTGTTGTTAGTGCAGCGGCGGCCCTGGCGGTGTGGTTATGACATTAATAATGTGTTCTCTCTCCCTCCTCAGGAATAGATTACTGTGACCTGGGAAACCACGGCTGTGAGCACAACTGTGTCAGCTTACCGGGATCCTACATCTGCAGCTGTAAGAAAGGCTTCGTCCTGAACGCAGACGGAAAGACTTGCAGCCGTACGAGAATTTTCCCTAATTTCTGGAACGAGGTCAAGAGACCAAACCAATTCTGAAATCATTTGTGAACTCCAGATGATTAGTAGTTTCAGATAGCGATGTATTGGGGCGAATTTAATGCTTAAAGTGTTTTATTATTATTATTTTTTTTTTTGTTTTATCCTTCTTCTCAGAGATTGATCACTGCGCTGCTGGAAGCCATGGGTGTGAACAGAAGTTTATGAACACAGAAACCTCCTGTGTGTGTAAATGCACAAACGGCTACACACTCAGGTCAGACGGGAAAACCTGCCAAAGTAAGGCTTTCGTTACTCTATTTGCTAAAAGTGTTTTAAATATTTTTTTTTACACCTTCACAAAATAAGTCTAGTGATAAAGACATAAAGTCAGAAATTTACCTACATTATAACAAGACTCTTTTCCTTTTATTTTTGAGTTTAGCATTAAATTAGACCTTTTTTTCTCCCGTTTTTTAAGACTTTAAGGATTACCCAATTATTCCTATTTGCTATATGTGAAGATATTTGGAGGGATAATTTATTAGAATATGCTAATAAATTACTTTCTTTTACATAAACTGAGGTTACTATGTCTTTAAACAATTTTGTCAAAGCCCAGATCATGATGTCATGGCTTTACAAGCTTCTGATAGGCTGATTCACAACAACTGACGAAAGTGAAGGCACTTTAATGCAACACATAAACAAAACTACCTCCTTTAGTGACAGAATGGAAAAATCAGAAGAGACAAAGCGAGATATTAAGAGCAGAGATGTGGACCGCTCCCGACGGTTCTGTCAGGAGGAGGGGGACAAAATCCCAGCAAACAATCTGTGGAAGGACGTGTTGCCCAAATCATACAGTTTTAAATTTAAATGATCAAGTCATGTCTTTTTAACAAATGGAAATATTGTACTTCATCTGTAACTATAAAAGGCAGGAAAATACCTGCATAAGAAGCAGACCAAACAATTCAGTTGTCTCCAACGTTTGTTGATTCTTTTCTTTTCCCAAAAAATAAAAACACAACAGAACTCAAAAACATCAAACATATGTTCTTGTCGTTTTTGATAACCTGATGAATGTTGAGGATGAGTTGCAGTATTGAAACTCTTGAAAACTACTGACAGTCTTGTTCACAGGAGCTGACACATACACGCCTACACACACTCTCTCTCTTTCACACAGAGGTGGATCCCTGTGCTGACGGCAGCCATGGCTGTGAACAGGAGTTTGTGAGCGCCGGAGACTCGTGTGTGTGTCGATGCAGGAAAGGCTTCACACTCAGACCAGATGGGAAAACTTGTAAAAGTATGCGTCTAAACATAATTTTACCTTTAATTGTCCATAACCTGCATTTTGGAATTTTCTTTACAACTTAATGAAACACATTTAATGGTATTTTTGTTATAGAGTTGCGAAATTGACAGAAAATCCTGTTGTTGTCATTTTGTAATAGATCAGAACAGATCAGCACATATGAGGCTTTGAAGGAACCAAAGAGTATTCAACAGCAGAATCTATTTTTTGCCATTTCAAAAGCCTTCTTCAGACTCCTCTATGCATCTGAGAGCTGATTCAGAGAATAAAAGAGATGGAAGAGAGAGAGGAAAACATGCTGTCATTCACCAGCCAGCTGGGTCCAGTTGTGCCTACAGACTGGACTGCGTTGTTTTCAATCCAAGAAACATTCTTTAATCTTTCAGCAAAATAGATTTTCTATTTGCAAACAATTCAGCTCAGACGATTTGATAGTTTTCCACTTTCCGTCAGACTCTTAGCAGGTTTTTGGAAATCCAAATTCTGTGCATGAAGCATGAGTTTACCTTCTTCAGAGGAAGAGCTGGAAATCATTTTATAAAGCAAAATCAAAAATCTGAACATTCATTCTCCAAACCACTTAGTGATTAATGCAATCTAATCAATTAATTTACAATTAACCAGTTAACCTGTTAAAATGAATTAGTTATTTATCATGTTTAAAAGCTGATTCTGAATGATAAACTTTTCACATTATGAACGGGTTGAGAGGAATAAATATGAAAATATATATTTATTTCAAAATCAGCATATTAAGTCAAAGTGATGCTGCCTATGCTTCAGGTAGCTGAGACAACACCTGTTTAGTTGATGACATTTTTTTCAAAATTCTTTTAATTTCTCCTAAAAAAACAGGTTCTTAGGACTCATAGGGTTCTGATATTTGACTGTTTTTATGTCACATTTATTCAAAATAAATTGCACAAGAAAACTCTAGGATGTCGTTATTCAAAAATGTACGCTCTTGCTCTTTCCCCGTTAGCCGACAAATCTTGAGAAGTGATATTGCTGATGAAGAGAAGAAACTTTTCAAAACTACTGACAAACCTACACACACTCTCTTCCTCTTTCACACAGAGGTGGATCCCTGTGCTGATGGCAGCCATGGCTGCGAACAGGAGTTTGTGAGCGCTGGAGACTCGTGTGTGTGTCGATGCAGGAAAGGCTTCACACTCAGACCAGATGGGAAAACTTGTAAAAGTATGCAGATTGGAGTATATTGTGACTGAAGAAATCGTGAAGGTTTTTTTAAAAAGGATTTGAGAAAAGTATTATGTTTCAGTACTGCCTTGGTGTTCGCTACGCAGCGCCTTACAAAAGTGTCAAGCCATTTTGTTGCCTTACGACTGTGAACATGAGTTTGATTAAAATTTCAAGATCTAGAAACAAAGAGGAATTGTGGAGTGGAAGGGGAGAAAATCTTCTTTATTTTTATTTACCCTGAATCAATACTTTCTGGTGTTTAACATATTTATTAGGCTTTGTGCATTATAAATATATAAATAAATAACAATCAAAATTCCATCAGGGAAGAAGAAAAAGCCACCCAATTAACAACTAACTGTCAACTACAAGCTATGTAGGAAAATAAATAAAACAAAAAGAAAAGAAAAATTGAAAACCATTGTTAAGATTTATGGAACCACTGCACAGTCAAAATTTCAAGGAACTGCTATGCCTGGACATTTGTTGAGGGTTTATTGGAAAAAAAATCATAAAAGATTTCCAGGTTTTATGAAATCTATTTTCAGAGCCTCTCCTCACATGCCTGATTTTCTCTAGTTTTAAGTTAAGTAGTATATCCTGTTTCAACACTGTCGGTGGAGCAGCGTCCTTCCATTTAAGAGGAATCCCTGGTGAAAATGCTGTTACTTTTCCACCTCTAGTACGTTAACCTAAACCCTCAGGACTCACCCCAAAAAGCAGCATGAATGAGTATGGAGTAGAATCAACACTTTCTAAAACCCAGTTTCACTGCATCAGCAAATCTCTTTACGGTTTCTATCCTATTCTGAAAAAAATGCATGTGTAACTTGCAAAAGTTACATTTTGTGTCAGATTCTCAACGGGATTTATGTCTGAACTTTAACTGGAGTATTTCAGCAAAGTGTTTGAATGATCCAGACAATATTGTTGTGCAGAATAGTGCAGAATTTTACATATTGGCTAAAAAGTTTCATCATGCTTTTTCCAATACTTTTGTGAGAACAGTTATAATTTCCAGGTATTTTATGCCTGAAAGTCAGCATTCAGCGTTGTTCCGTCGCATTTAAAAGGTATTCATATCACAGAATCCTTATTATTACAGTCCACTTTTAGTCTTTTATTCAATCATTTTAATTTTTTTTTCATACACGGTTTCCTATTTTTGATTGTAAAACATACATGTCTGCTTATGTGTCATCCAGAGATAGAGCACTGCCTTGACGGGAATGACGGCTGTGAGCAGGAGTTCATAAATACGGAAAATTCATGTGTGTGTAAATGCAGAGAAGGATACACTCTGAGAAAAGATGGGAAGACATGTCAGAGTGAGTAATAATAAATTCACTGGAATGATACTTTAATTATTGTCTACACTTAAGCGATGAGAGGAGAGCCAAAAAAGAAAACACAGGAATGAATGCATTTTTTAAATAAAATTGCTGATATTAATATTTCTCAAAGTGTCAAACAATATTGTAAAAAGTTTGAAAAACCATTATAAAGAATTTTAATTTAAAGACGGTGTTAGGATTTGAACTGAGTATCTCCTGTTTTGAAGTCAGGGCATTGACCAGCTAAGCCACAGTACCTTGCAGTTGTTGAAATCACACTTTCTCTAAATGTCACGATATACTCTAAAATTGAACGCAAATAATACAATTAGCAGTATGATGTCATAAGGCAACATATTTCAAAGGTACTGCTGGGATTTGAAGCCAGGATCTCCTGTTTACGAGACAGGCACTTTAACCAACTAAGCCACAGTACCTTGCAGTTGTTGAAATCACACTTTCTCTAAATGTCACGAAATACGCCGAAATTGAACGCAAATAATAC